TCAAAAATAAAGGGATGTAAGCACTTGACAGGAATGCAGAACCGTAAGACCACGGGCCATGCACACTGGCCTGAAAGACGAGCAGGACTAAGGCAGAGAAGGGAAAGAGCCGCCCAGGTGCAAGGCTCAGAAAATACTCAAGAATGTGATCTTGTTTTCAGATTAGTAGAAGTTTATTACCAGTAATAACAGTGATGGAGTTACTCATGCTGCTTAACTGATGAGAGGAAAAAAATGACTAAGCAAAAGCTAAAAGATTACCTTAACAAATTTCTACTAAAGAAATCACCTAAGGCAGCACTTGGGCTATCAGTCTGGTAAAGATGAATTATTCAGTACCTGTTGGGACAAATGGTTAGCCATCTGGAAAAACATAAATCTGGATACGAGCCTCACTCCATAGATCAACCTAAATCCCAACTATATAAAAAATGTAAATACTGTGTTCTTAAAAATGAAACCATAAAAATGCTAGGAGAAATTGATCCTGAATGAAGAAAGCCTTTCTAAGTGTTGATGCAAAAGCCAGAAAATATAAGAAAAATGACAATACATAAATTTGTCTATGTAAAAATTTAAAATATCTATAGAACATAAGAGAGTTAAATTACTAACTGGGGGGAGGTCTGCTTGTATATTACAGGCAAAGTGCTAAAAGCCCCTACAAAGAAAGGGCCTGGATGCTTTAAAACATGATTAAACATAATTTAGGGCATAAAAACAAATTCTAGCCCTTCATGAAGGAGACAGTCTCCATTCAGAGAACTACAAAATGGAGCAGAAGGCAGGAAGCTTTTATAGGATAAAGAATAAACAAGGGAGAGACAGACAGCAAAAGACCTGGCTGTCTGGAGCCACAGTGTCAAGCTTGTTTGGGCTGAGACGAAACAAGGAAGTGTAAGGACAGAACCCAGAGTTGGCTTGGCGTTCGGGGATTGGCTGCCTGGATACGCAACATTTCTGGTCAAGCGGAACAGTTACAGGAACACAAAGTCATCTACGCTTCCATCTGCTGACCTGGCACCTTGGGCAGGAACAGCTGCATCTTAGGTCTGAAGTTATTTCAACAGAGAGAAGAAAGGCAGGTGAAAGCAGGATACAAAAGGTTTAATTCCCATAAGTGATCAATTTGTAGAAATGTGTTCCAGCAGCCCTGCTAGCAAACAGAGGGAGGCACTCTTCACCTATTGAAGATGTTTGAAGATCAGTAGTGGCTTGTTTGGGCAAGGAAATGGGAAAATGTACATTTTTGTGCGCCATTAATGAGTGTGAATTGGAACAACTTCTGGAGAATGGTATAGCAAAATATATCAACATTTAAAGTTTACTTATCTTTGAAATTGGTTTACTCTAGGATGGATTCCTATGGAAATACTTGCACATCTGTGCAAAGATCCATGTATCCTCTCAAATAGGAAGTTGTCTTGATGCAATAATAACCCCCAAACACACTCAGGCAGGTTATCCCCAATGTCTGAGACAGGAAACTTGACATCCCAAGTTAAGATGCTCCAGTCACTTGGTTTATTGAATCACTCTTAAGTTGAAGTCCATTGGAAAGGGTAGTGAAGGTTAAGACATGGAGGTGAGAGGTCCACGTTATTGCCTCAGTCCTGTGTTACGCAGTGACGTCCATTCTGGGGTACCTGCCTTCACTTCTGATGGTGTGGTTATGAGAACCGCCGCCGAAACTGCCGGGGGCTGGGCAGAGGGAGGATGCGCACATCAGCGGTACGTGCTGGCTCTGTCGGAAGTACACAGGGGCAAGCGTGCCTGCTTAGCGGCCGGCTGAGAGCCGCGTTTTCCACCTGTTTCTGGGCTGAACATGCATGGGGCCAGAATGGGTGTCCGCCATGAATGGGCGTCCGCAGTTTTAGGGGTGATGTAGCCGTCCACCTGAAGGTGGCATCATTTGCACCTTACAATTTATTCTTCCCATCTTTTTCAGTTAGTAACACTCGTGTCTCTTCCATCCTTTTTACATAAATTCCGTTCTGTCTTTATCATGTCTCCCAGTGTACTGTCTGTAGCTGACACATCTTAGGAACTGTTTCTCATGTGTGTCGTAGATCTCTTTTGTTTTCCCTGCTCTTTAAAGCAATTCAATATTCTCATAATACAGCAAACACAAACTATAAACACATGTTCAAATGTGCCTAAAAATAAAAAAAAAAAAAGAATTGTTCTACAGAGGATAGGCCAAATAAGTCATCATTGTGTGTAATAGAGTACCGGCTGTTGGAAATAGCAATGATCTTTATTGGCAAAAGAAAAAATTGTATGTCCATTTTTATTGAATGAATAGTGTTCAGAAACATTTACAGCGCCCTGTTTATGTGTTAAAGTACATATTCGTATATAAAATTTCCTAGGTTGTGCACTGAGATCCTTCCAGACATTTCTCTCAAAGTCTGGAGGATCTCAAAATATTAACAGTAATTTTCTTAGAGTTGGGGGTTTGGGGTGATTTTTGTTTATTTGCACTCATTCTTTATAACAGGTGAGATGAGGAGGTACTACAAAAAAAAAGCTTACATTTTTATAAGCTAAAGAAAAAACAAACCAGTGTTGGTTTTTAAAAGTTTCCCATGGCCAGCATTTTGCTCTGGGAAGAATAGCCTTTGCAGTTGGATAGACAGATCCATTTACCAGCTGCATGAGAGCGGTTTCGTAGCCTTCCTTAGCTTCGGTTTTCCAGTCTGTAGAATGAGATAAAGAATGCCTTAGTGGAGATGAGAACGTTTGCAAAGGGCATAGCACAATGTCAAGATGACCTTAGTGGGCTAATAAATGTTCTTCCACCCCTGTATTTGATAACATGCTGAATCCTCGTCTGCCCCTCTGTTTCATTCCTGGTGGTGTGAAAGGACCAACCAAACGTGGTGCTAGAAAATCCCAGCAGCTGCAGAAGACTCTTTCCAAGACAGGCTAGCTTGTGGCACCCAGATTACAGTAGCTGTGGCCCAATAAAGCTGGGAAGGGAATCTGGTTTCCCTACTGCCTTCTGGCTACCCCACTACGAAGCTGGAAGTATAATATAATATTTTCTATTGCAAAACACATTGGCCCCTGGATCTAATAACACTGCATTTAAGGGAGTAAAACTTGGGGTTGGACTGTAGTACTACTAAACTCTGGTGTGCACAGGGTCATCTGGAGCGGTGGTTCACGGTCCTGTGCAGACCCACCATCACCTTTTTTACAATGTTCATGTTGCTATCTTGAAATTCACGGATAATTTTTTAAATCATTGTGCACCCTTTTAAAATCAGTATAATTTCTTGACAGTAAATAAAGGAGAAATAAGAGGAAAGATTATAATCATGCATTTCAATATAGAAATTCTCCGGCGTGATTAACTTTATGACGTTGCACTGCTCACATGTTTCCACATTGAGGCAGACTCACCGTGAAACCAGCAGTTAAAATACAAATGTGTTGGATTCGCCACCAAATACCATGAGCCAAATGGCTGCTGATGGTACCTTCCAGAATGGCCAACAGGGTTCGGTCAAGTTCAGGACCAAAAAGGCAAATTTCCCTCCAGTTTATACACTGGTTGAATTCTCATAAACATTCAGTATGTGTAAACGCTCTGCAGAAAATACTCTAAATATGCGATGTGGAATTTACTAAGTAGAGAACTTGTGTGAAGTATAGATCCCTGAACACCCCACTCCAGGGAGTTTTGACTCGGGGAGTCCAGGATAGGACCCGGAATCCACATCAACCTGGTAGTGGTTCTCACTCGGGCATTCTGTTTTCTTTTCTTTCTTTCTTTTTTTAATGTTTGTTTATTTTTAGGGAGAGGGAGAAGGAGAGAGAGAGAAACATCTATCCATTTTTTGCATGCCCACAACCTGGCAGGCAGGGATCTGGCCCACACACCCAGGCCTGTGCCCTGACTGGGAATGGCATTTGCAGAGCAGTGCCCAGTCCACTGAGTCACACCAGTGCTGGCCAGGCATTCTGTTTGCTAAATGAACTGGGGGAAGGGGTGGCTGTTCTAGAGAGGGAACCTAAAACGATAAACTAGGAACCAAAAACTCAAGATTGGTCATTCCTATGTAGTGTAATGTACTGAGATGAAACTAGGAATTTAGAATATCTCAGTTTCGGACATAAGTCTGCTACTTGTAATTGCCTAACTTGGTACAACTTTTTTGTGTGTCTATTTACTCATCTGTAAAAAAATAGTTATTGTACCTGTAGAGTGGAGGGATGGGATTGTGGTTTCTGAGACTGAAGCTTGCTTGCTTTATTTGTCAAGATTATTAAAACTCGATGACGCTAACTCCACTTTCAGAAAATCTGGATGGGGTGCTGTCACTTTCCTAAAAGCCCACTGAAACCAGAAAAAGCAAGCCACCAAAAAAAAAGGGGGGGGGATTAGCCCACTCACCAAACAGACAGACACCAACTCACAATCTGGGAGTATGGATAAGGACGAGTCGCTTCACTTTCACTGGCTTTGGCTTACTCAGACTTGCAGCTCCATCTGCTACTCAGTTACTCCTCAGTTCCTCCTCCTCTCTCCCACACCTGCCACTGTCCTAGCCACCTATTTTCTTTGCGCCCCTTCCCCCTTCCCGGCACTGTGCGTCGTCGTCCCCGGTTTCAGTCACCAGCTCGTGGGCCACCCCTTTGGCTTTCCCCTTCGTTCGGTGATCGGGGCAATCCTCCCGCCCCATCTGGCTCCTCTCCAAGATGGGGAAAGTGGGGACTCCCCGTTGCAGACCCTACGGGGCCCACACTGCGCGCCCCGGTCCCCCTCACCTCCTCTCGTCCTCGACACTCGCTCTCACCTCCCTGCCCCCCTATCAGCATCCCACCCTCCCACCCCAAACTGGGGGTCCGAGGCTCCCGAGCTGCCTGCTGAATAAGCTGGTGAAGGTGCCGGGTTCCCCGTCACTGCGTTCACCCTGAAGCATATCCCAGGGGCTCCTCCCCAGATCTTGCGCACCGGCTGCGGGAGGCTGAGGCCAGCTCCTCTTCCTCCTTAGCCGGGATGTCCACCACGGGCGGGGGCCGTCGCCACTGAGTCTGGAGCCCGGCACCACCCACTTGTCGGAGAGCGCCGCGCGGGGCCAGCGCAAATCTCTCCACAGCCAGTGGCTCCTGCTCTCGTAAGCCCTATCATTTCAGGCAAACACACGCGCCGGCCGGGAGCAGGGCGTAGGTCACGAGCAGCACGTGCGGGTCCTCGGCGTCTCGCTGCAGGGTGAGGGTGCCCGCAGTGCCAGCGAGAGCGCCGGAGGGGGGAGAGTGGGCGCACGGGCGGCCGGGAGGCGGCAGTCCGGGGGAGCAGGGGCCACGCGGCAGTGCGGGCGGCGGGACTGCAGTGCCGCCTCTCCAGAGAAAGCCCACACGCTCACACGCCCGCGCGCGCGCGCACACACACACACGTGCACACTGTAAGCAGCGAGAACACGAGCAAGAGCCCATACGCTCTGGACACGTTTTAGCGATGGCTTCTGCCCTCAACAGCAAAATTCACGCGCCCGGGACTTGCCTGGGCTCCAAAGCTGAGGCCCACGGCGGCGCCAGCTGGAGAATGGACTGCGACCCCGAGATGCACGTGAAAATGTGCAAGAAGATAGCCCAGCTCACCAAGGTAAGGTGAGGTGCAGCGAGCAGGCTCGCTGCGCTCCCGGGGTTCCCGGGCCAGGGAGTGAGTGCGGACGCGCGCGGGGGGAGGCCCAGGCCAAAGCCAGGCTGAAACTTTGTCTCAGAGGCCAACCCAGAAGGAACGCGGTGCCGAGTCTTGGTGGCTTGACCTTCTGGATGCACCATGCTAACGCAGCTGAGCCAGAGGATCCTTGACAAGGAAACTGCTCCAGCCTGCGTGCTGAGCAGGTGGTCTGTGCTCCCCAGGTGGGGATGTGAATCCAATTGGAGCAGTGCTAGTGTGTGTGTGTGAGTGTGTTTTGCTGGCTCTGCTCAAGTGATCGTGCTTGGAATGTTGTGGTTTCATTCATCGAGGTACTTGACAGTCAGGGAGGTGGTGTGCGCTCTGTTTAAACACTTGATTCATTTATTCCTTCCTTGAACAAATATTTGAGTCATTTGTTCAGTGCCAGCAGCTTGCGTGGCACCGTACTAAACCTGGAAGGCAGCCCGGAGGACTTGCTAACACATCGGGTGTGGACGTGTGCGGGAGTGTAAATAAGCAAGCGCAGGCTTCACCGTTTAATTATGGGGTTTACAAAGGACCTTGGGAGGTCAGCCAGCCCGTCGCCTCGCCTCATCCCAGGGCCCAGACTGAACCTCCAGAGACTGTGGTATCTTCCTTAGGAGCATCAGCAAGGAGACACCACTCTGCCCTTTATTAGCCCTCTGTGGCTTCCCAGCTAGGCGCTCCCCGGGTTCGGTTCCCCGGTGTGCCTTGTGGGTAGAGGAAGAACAACAGCCTTCTGCGCCTGGATTGGGTGGTTTCCCCTGGGCTTTCCTTTGGATTTCATAATAAACTCCGGGTCCTGGCTTGGTCCAGTAGTGCACGAGACACGCTCTCTTCCCTGTTTCCCTCCAATTTCCCTGCCCTGGCTGGGTGGCTCTGTTGGTTGGAGCAGCATCCCATGCACCAGAGGTTGTGGGTTCAACTCCCGGTCAGGGTTTGATCCTGGGTCTGGGCACTGTGGGAGGCAATGAGTAGATGTTTCTCTTTTACCCTCTCTCTTCCTCTCTAAAAATCAATAAAAACATGTCCTGGGGTGAGGATTAATAAATAAAATAAGAAGGAACTCCTTAATTTATTCACAGTACTTTGTACCTGCTAAACAGCTAATGTATGTTAGTAGAGTAAATAAATATTTATTTACACAGTGGCCCAAAGTCCAGGATGCACATTAAATCCACCTGGAGAGCTTTTAAACACACACCAGTGAGAGGAATGTGGCGATAGAGAAAATACAAATATTTGTATCGATGTTAAATTCACAGGCATTGACAACTACACTGAGGCTATGCGAGAAAGTATCTTTATTCTGAACAAATGCATGTTGAAATGTGTCTTTTAAGAAAGTAAGAGTGATGTCTTACTCTCAGAGCATTTTCTTTTAGAAATAAAATAGAGAAAATAAAATAGAGAAGGAGAGCAAATGATGAAACAAATGGTACCAAATGTTAAGACTAGATGAATCTGGATAAACAGTTTGTGGATGTTCACTGTATCTCTTTTTTGGCATTTCCCCCACCCCTACACTTGAAATATTTCTAAATAAAAAGGTAAAAACAAAAGGCATACAAGGCCCCAGTCCCCGTCTTAGGCGGGGAGGGGAGAGTGGCGGCGGGCGTGGCTGTGTCCCCAAAGCCCCTCGAGACAAGAACGCGGGGTTAAGAACCCCGGTGTTAGAACAGCTGCGGCGCTGAACTGCAGAGCGGGCACAGAGGAGCTACTCGGGACCACAGGAGTCCCACCTCCATTCCCACCCATCAGCCGCTCGGGAGCCGTGGAGGTGTTCAGATCCACCGTGCCGGGGGTGCTGGTGTTCAAGTGACCCTCATTTTACTTCATAATGGCCCCAAAGCCATTCACATAACTCTCCTTACAGTATATTGTTGTTATTGTTCTATTTTATTATGGTACTGTCATCAGTCTCTTACTGTGTCTAATTTATTAATTCAAGTTTATCATAGGGTATGTCTGTATGTGTAGGAGAAAACATAGCTTCTATGGAGTTTGGTACTGTCCTCGGTCTCGGGCATTCATGGGAGGTGTTGGAACACCTTTCTGTGGATATGGGGGGACTCCTCTGTCTGTAGACACTTCCTTTGTTTCATGGGGCGTTCTGGAGGTCAAAGCCACTGTTTCCAGCCCAACCAGATCAAGGGAGCTGTTTCTCGTCACGTTCCAGAACCTGACCAAGGTCTGTCAAGACACACGAGCAGAAACAATGATGTCGGATGGGAGCGGGTGGGATCGGGGTGGGGAGGTGGCAGGGATGGGGGGGAGGGACGCTGTCCTGGAAAACAGACACTGGGGACAAAATTAGAAATATTAAGGAAAAAGAATTACACTTTCTACATGCTGTGATCTTTTAAATGAACTTGAACTTGATTTATTTCTAGAGGGATATTTCCTCCTCTTCTTTGCACTCACACGTGTAGATTTACAATGGACTGTGAGTAAAAGCGAAGACACCTGCAGAACACACGAACCACGTGGGGGTTACCCTTGGGATGCGCTTCCTCCCGCTAAGAGGCCATCTCTTCAGAGAGGCCTTTCCTGACCTTCCGGTGCAAAGGGACCCACTGTGCTCACCTTGTAATTGGGAAAGATAATTCCATCTTCCTTGGTGATTTGCTGTGAGGTTTCGCTAATTTAACTTACGTTCGTAAGTGGGGCACCTCACCCAGGGCCAGACACAAAGCGAGCTTGACAGATGTTGCTTTGCCGTTGCTTCCCGAGCTAGAAGACCTTCGGAGGGATAGAACTGCTGTCCAGTCGTCAAAACGAGCCCCCTAGGGCAAAGCCAGCCCTGCTCCGGGGCTAGAGGCCAGGGCGGTGTCTGAAGGCTGCGGCAGTGGTGGCTGTTGCCACAGGCGTCCTCAGCAACTGGCTGCCACGTGAGCCCCATGTTTACAAGGCTTAATGGTGTGGGAGTTTTAGTGCACCCACTGACTCCCTCGGCTTTTCTGGAAAACCCTGCTGCCTGCAGGAGCTCGTTCTGGGAGCCGGTTAAGCAGCCCCACACCAGTCTGCCTTAGGGTTCTAGATTTGAAAACGGCAGGTCTGTTTTAACAAGACCTCTCCGATGGAATCTTTTAATTTAATGATGTGATCCGTGATGTAAGGGCCGCTGTCTCACAAAAACCGTTTCGCCATACACAGCAGGAAGAACACCTTCAGTTGGGTGTCCTTGAACCCTACTGACATGACGCCACTTCTTCGTAACTGTTCAGGCCTCTGCGTGTCTCCCTGGCCTTCTTCCAATCCGCCCTCCACACAGCAGCCAGGACGACCTCAAAACTGACGCCGACCCTCCGACACGGCGGGTGGGAATGTGCACGCCGCAGCCACTTTGGCAAAACCGTCGGGCCGCTCCTCACGCGATAAACACAGTCGTCATATAAACCAGCAGTTCCGTGCCTGGGTATGTACCCAAGAGAAATTAAAACATACACCTACACAAAAGCTGCTGCAAAGTATTCACAGCAATGTTATCCACAATAGCCAAAATGCGAACAAACTAAATGTCCGTCCGTTGAAGAATGGGAACGTAAAATGTGGTACAGAGTGTGGTACAGTGGGGGGTAGTGGTTAAGGGGTGCGGGGCTTCTCGTGGGGTGATGAAAATACTCCAGAGTCCGGTGTAGTGATGGCTGTGTGACTCTGTGAAGACACTGCAACCCGCTGATTCGTGACTTTAAATGGACGAATTGTATGGCAGAGGAATCATAGCTCAATACATAAAATTTAAACACACCAAAACAAACAAGCTGAATCTTGTCTTTCTCCTGTTTAAAACCGGGTCTGAGGGCAGTTCTGGAGGTCGAACCGATCAGTGCACCCCCATTCTCCCTTTGCACGTCGCCCTGGTCCCGGCTGCCTGGCTCCACCCCCACCCTGCCGTGCCCTCCCAGCAGGCCCTGCAGTCGGTGCGCCCTTGCCTCTCCCGCACTGGCCAGAGTGAGCTTCTGAAATACAAACCAGAGCACCTCATTGTCCCGTCTAAGCCCACCAACGTTCCCCGTTTCACTCGGAAGAACATTGTTCACGTAGAATGAATTCTCTGTCGCAGTCCCTGGAGGTGGCTGCTGCGGGCTTCTCGGCGTCAGCTCCGCGGCTGCACCCGCCGTCCTTCAGGGCCTTCGTATGGGACCGGTCCTTGCTGCTTGGAACCTTGTCCTCCGGGTTCCTTCTGCCTGACCCTTGCTCGGATGTCCCTCCAGACAGGGCCCCTGCTCCTTGGACGCTGTGCCGCGCCCCTCCCTGAGACCCCCTCCGCCCCATCTGCCAGTCACACACTCTCCCTCCATCTGCTTCTTGCTTTCCCTTCCCCCCACGGGAAGGTCGGCAGGGGGCAGAGGGTTCTGCCTGCTTTGTCCTCTCCTGTAGCTCCAGTGTCTAGACAGTGCCTCGTGCGTGATGGGGGCCCAGTTCACACACAGACTAATGAACAAAACGCTCCCTGGACCTCCTACTCTCCTAGGGTAAAATGTCACGTTTGAGCATGGCCTGCACGTGGTCCTTTAGTGGGAGTGTGGGGAGGCCCCTCTTTCTCCCAAGGCCAGAGCTCGGGAAGCGCTGGCATCGAATTTCCGGTTTTCTGAGCGCGGTGGAAAGCTGGACTTCTGTGACAAGTGAGTGGGCTTCCCATCCGCTCCCAGGCTGACAGCTGCCTCAGTCGCTCCCAGCCCCTGACCCCAGACACAGGGTTTGACCGAACTCGGTGCTCCCATGGGGTCAGATGCAAATTCCTTCAGGACACCAGCACTGCAAGGAAGAATAAAAATAACAATGACCCATTATGCAAAGGAAATGCCTATTTTAGAAAAACCAAATATACAGAGAAGCAAAAGAAAAAGATTTAAAGACATCCCCCTCCAATTAGAACTATATTGATATAATAAACTTTCACGTATTCTGTATTTTTACATATTCTACTACACTGT